TATTTTACATGCAAGAATTTCGCGTGTATACTAACGCTACGTAATGTGAAAATTCTGAACTATTGTGCACCAAGCAATAGGCATTGACCTCATGAACAACTTTTTCGAAGATAGTAATTTTCTACCTGTTAAGAATCTCGAGCTTAGCATACGCGAGAGTTGTACACGTTTACTAGCGCCATGTGGTGAGAAAATTATAGGCTACTGTCCACCAGCCAAAAAGTCTTGACCCCCTGAACAAGTTTGTCGAAAACATCTGCTCAGGATCTCGAGCTATTGTATATGCGAGAATTGCATGTGTATACTAGCACGGAGTAGTGAGAAAATTCTGATCAACTGTCCACCAACGAAAAGATCTTGACTTCCTGAAAAACTTTTCCAAAGACATTTACTCTCTATCTGGTCAGGATCTAGTGATGTATCACATGCGAGAACTTAACGTGTATATGAGCACTACCTAGTTAGAAGATTCTGAACTACTGTTAATCAGCAAAAAGGCTATGATCTCCTGAACAGCTTTGCCTAAGACAGTAACCTTCTATCTGGTCAGGATCTCGAGATATTTTATATGATAATTTTACGTGTATACTAGCGCCGCATAGTGAGAAAATTCTGAACTACTGTCCACCAGCCAAAAATACTTGACCCCCTGAACAAGTTTGCCGAAGACAGTAACTTTCTATCTGCTCAGGATCTCGAGCTATTGTGTATGCGAAAATTGCACGTATATACTAGCACCACGTAGTGAGAATTTTCTGAACTACTCCACCAACGAAAAGATCTTGACTTCCTGAAAAACTTTGCCCAAGACAGTAACTTTTTATATGGTATGGTAAGAGATATTTTATACATGCGAGAATTTTACATGTATATTAGCGCCGCAAAGGGAGAACACTCTAAACTACTGTCCACCAACGAAAAGGCCTTGACCTTCTGAACAACTTTGTCGACGACAATAACTTTCTATCTGGTTATGATCTCGAAAGTAGTGAGAAAATTCTAAACTACTCTCCACCAGCGAATAGATTATGATCTCTAGAACAACTTTGCCGAAGACAGTAATGTTGTAGCTGGTCAGGATCTCGATATTTTCCATGTTGTAACCAATTAAGTCAAATCCCACGTAAAGGGTGATACGGTCAAAATTTGGTCAATATCAACTTGACGTATTTCTTTCAATTTTGCATTTAAAAAACCTGAACACCCCTCATTTTGAAGGTGTGTGTGTGTAGAATGTTGCTCCTATTTTGATTTTGGAATTCACTCTTCAGTTGTCAAAATGCCGTCCAAGCAAGAAGAGCAGCGTATCAAAATTTTGCTCGCGCATCGCGAAAATCCGAGCTACTCGCACGCAAAGTTGGCAAAATCGCTAAAAGTTGCCAAATCAACCGTTACAAATGTAATTAAAGTGTTTGGGGAACGTTTGTCGACAGCCAGGAAGTCTGGATCGGGGGGAAATCGAAAACCGGAAGCCGCTGAGACGACAAAGAGAGTTGCCGGTAGTTTCAAGCGAAACCCTAACCTCTCTCTCCGAGATGCCGCAAATAAGCTGGGTGTATCGTCTACAACCGTGCATCGAGCCAAAAAATGAGCCGGACTATCGACTTACAAGAAGGTAGTGACTCCAAATCGCGATGATAAACAAAATACGACGGCCAAAGCGCGATCCCGGAGGCTGTACACGACGATGCTGACGAAGTTTGACTGCGTGGTAATGGACGACGAAACCTACGTCAAAGCCGACTACAAGCAGCTTCCGGGACAGGAGTTTTATACGGCAAAAGGAAGGGGAAAGGTAGCAGACGTTTTCAAGCACATGAAACTGTGAAAGTTCGCAAAGAAATATCTGGTTTGGCAAGCCATCTGTACCTGTGGCTTGAAAAGCAGCATTTTCATAGCTTCCGGGACTGTCAACCAAGAAATTTACGTGAAAGAGTGTTTGAAGAAACTTTCCTGAAGAAACACGGTTGTTCCGTACTGTTTTGGCCGGATTTGGCATCTTGCCATTACGGTAAAAAGGCCATGGAGTGGTACGCCGCCAACAACGTGCAGGTGGTTCCCAAGGACAAGAACCCTCCCAACACGCCAGAGCTCCGCCCAATTGAGAAATACTGGGCTATTGTCAAGCGGAACCTAAAGAAGACCAAAAAAACTGCTAAGGGCGAGCAGCAGTTCAAGGCAAACTGGCTTTCTGCGGCGAAGAAGGTGGACAAGGTGGCTGTACAAAATCGGATGGCAGGGGTCAAGCGTAAGGTCCGGCAATTCGGATTTGGAAAAGCGGAAGCCTAACTGAATATTTTTCCTAAATTTTATACTAATTGAACTTGAAAAAGAAATTTAATTTGATTTTTTAAATAAACAATTTCACCGATTTACACGCGTTTTCCCTTGACCAAATTTTGACCGTATCACCCTTTAGTACGGACACCGTTTATGCGGTTTCCATTCACATTTTCTCTATTATCCGCATTTTTAAGGGGTTAGCTGTGATAAAAATTTAGCTTGTTTAGTTAAAAACAAGTTTTTCAATGAATACCCGTTGGTTTCATATCGATTGCTAGCTGGCAATGGAAAACTCACACAACGCGCGAGTACTCGTGTTAAAAAAGTTGGCGCGAGTAACGGAGGGTTAATCTTCTAGTTAACTTGATATCTATCCATTGCAAGCAATATTTTGATAATTGTTTATGTTTTGAGAGTTGGTGCACAGGTAGATTGAGGTTAAGGAAACGCCACTAGATTCAAGATTGGTTTCTGTGATGATTGGTATCACATACACACTAAAAAAATTTCACCGAGATTCCAACAGTCGAGTAGTTCTGCAATTAATTTTTCTGAGATTCAGTAAAACAATTGCCGAGACTCAGCTGACAAATAACTATTTGCTGAAATATCAGCTAACAAACAGATATTTTGCAGAGATATCAGCAAAAGTAAATGCCGATGTAATCGGCGGTTGGAGATTTTACCGAGCTAGATTAAGTGTGTAGAAGGTAAAATAGGTAACATCATCTTCATCGATCTGTAAGTACTATTGACAATAATCATAACTAGATGAAATGCAAATGTATGATAGGTAGCTAGATCAAGTATATGTAAACATGCGCATTCAATCTCGACGATTTCTTATTCTGCATGTCAACACCTTTGACTCTCCTTGCTCTTATCCTTCACCTATGCATCTACGCTTCTATGTTAAGAATCACCTTAGCCCTCATTTATTTTCGGCAGATTTCAATCGACTCGCATATTTTTGTAGACGTTATGCTTCTGATTATCTGATTATTATATTACATATTACTGTATATACAAAAATCGGGACGAGGAGGGACCATCAGGGCACACAATTGAAGCGATTTGGATGGGGAGAGTGAAGTTGTCAACTCCCTGTTGCTAACATTTCGTGGATAAAGGGCGGGCTCTTCTCCCTATTGATTGGGACATCTTCCTGAGGGTTCATAAAACAAAACTTACTTGGGTAAGTGCTTGCTTCAAAATACACCAATTGAGGCAGGCAAAACGAAAAGAAGCACAAAAGTCAGGAAGAAGAAGATATTATTTTATGGTAAAGGCAAAATCCACTGCAGTTTAGGATTGGGCGATCTTTTTCATCCCGATTTCCGATTTTTCGGATCGATTTTTGGCCCACAAAGAGATCGAAATAATCGATCTCTTCTTTCGATCTTTTCGATCTTCAAAAAAAAAATAGGTGTTAAACTTTTAAGTATATTTACATCGAAAAAACGATTTACTCTCATCGCAGACTGCGTAGTAAATATAACGAACATAACGTCAACATCAGCATCGCTCCCTACAATGCCGTCACTATTTGCGTTTCCGATATTTACAAATACAGCAACATTTGAAGGTTTGTGCTACCTCCCTCCTGTGCTCATTGCTCCTTACCGTCACGACATTTAATTGAATATTATAAAGGAAATAATTTCTTGGGGTACCTACCAACGTAAACAAGCGTATTAAAATAAAAATCAAAAGATCGATCTACCAGAGATCGATTCTTTGGTACCGATTTAATCAGGTGGATCGGTCCTAGAGCCAAATATGAGATCGATTTTTCTCTGAAGATCGCCCAATCCTACTGCAGTTATTGCCAAAAAAAAGATTATGTTTGTCACAGGAAACGCTTCCATTGTCATCCCTGCCACAAACGGGCAGACTGGAGCTGATTCTACTCAAAAAAATCCACACCATCTCGTTTGAGTGAATTCACGAAGAAACAACAACTTGAGAAACACCGTTCTCCAGAAACGAATCCTCGAGTTTGTCCATTCAAATCAACTTCCCCATGTACATTCAATTTGTACATCTATATGTCTTCGCCCCTCAGAAAATCGTCAGCCTCCACCCCAGTCAGTAAGCAGTAAGAGGACTCGGCTGTTCGGTCGGTCGGTCGGTCGGTGTCAAAAAATTTCGGTCAAACCGTGTCGGGTCGGTGTGTGGGCGCGGTCATTACTCGTCAATTTCTTCTTTCTCGCAATTCCTGCCTGCCTTCAATAAATTTTCCGTGCCTTTTTTCTTTTTCGTTTCTTACTACTGGGTGGGTGCTCGATGATCGTGGTGATGGGTTGAGGGGGGGAAACCCCTCATTTTTATTGAATTCGACAAAAATTTGGCACGTATAGCGCATGCTAAATAAATTACCCGCGAGTTCTGCCCGTATGCTTCTTTTGCTAACTTGTTTTTTCTCCTTTACTAAAAAGCTGTGACGGAACAGATCGCGAGTGTTGCGCGTTTTAAGTTTGTTTAGCTCAGTTTTTTTTCGCGTCGTTGCGTCGGGTGGTTTTGGCCATTTACTTCCTAATGGAGGAAACCCGTTTTTTTTCGGTCTCTCGGTCTCGATCTTGGTTTTAGGCAGATGTTGTGGTTTTTTGTTGTTTGAGATGTTGACTCTTCAATTCGGTTACTAAGGTCAGCTGAGGATGTTCTGTTTTCCATTGGGTTGGATTAGATCGTGTTCCTAGTAGGCGTGGGGAAATTACCTGTTGTACGCTCGGAGTCTTGCGATGGCCGGCGGGCGAATCCAGGGGCGAATCGGAACTGTTGGAATGGCTGTCGAGGAAGGTCTGGAAAGGTGGAGAAAAAACAGCAGTTTTTAGCATTTGTCACCGGTACTTTGAAAAATTGAGTGAGGGTATATTTCCATCGAAGCAACCTTTTAGATTTGCCAAGTGGTCGGGATTTTGGCACGGACAGCGCTGACAACTGACACCGACACACAAACAGCTAGCTAGCACAGTACTGTTTATTATCTTTCCGGCGAGCGCGGAAGGAAGATGGATTTTTTTGACGATGCCAATAAGGCCCCCACCGGAACTCGTCGCGCCCCGTTAATGGCGATGGATAAATACATTAGCTGGGGCACACTGTTGGTTTGGTTGGCGGTGGTGGAGGTATGTAGTAGCAAACGCGTCATATGATGGAATGTGATATTATCTATCAAAATCGTGTGGTATAAGTGCTGGAACATGTTGCGCCTATTTTCGCTGCAAATGGTTGAGGTTTTGTTTAATAGCAAGATTGAATTACGGTGGAAATGGTTTACGGAGAAGTAAACCGTGCGCAAGATAAAATAGAGGATAGTTTGAACAATCCGTGATCTCAAGCTCACAGAATTTTCTAAGGCTTGGAAAATCAAATTTGATATCGGATGCAGAACAGAATTTTATATTTAAAACTTGTGATTTTTTTAAAATAATATCTCTTGAAAATATGAATGCTTTCAGTCCAGCAGACATATAGGGGAATTTACGTATTCTCGGCAACCTAAGCAGCGACGTTCTTTCTATAGACTTTTTTTCTCTATGGAACGCACACATATGCAGTATTGGTTTGTTTACAATCTTTTGCTGCCAGCTGTTCTAACAATTTCAGTCGAAAAAATTGTCAAAAACTGTTTTGAAACGCTTTTACAAAGCTCCAATCTTCTCTAGTGAGAGCGAGTATTGTCGGCAACCAGTTTTTCTTCGGCAACCGTTCCATTTGAACTGCATGTAAATCTGCTGTTCTATTATCGGTAACTCGAAATCAGCTACAATTTGTAGTGCGTGTGTTTCATTTCAAGAAAACCCAGCTAGATTGCTTTTTCTCAGTGGTAAAAATATAGTCAAATTGAAGCTGAAAGCATAAAGAATCGTTTGCATGCATTCAGCGAAGTGTTTTCGTACGAAAATCCAGTGAAAATAGTGTTTCAATTTGGGTTGCCGAAAATAGTCTGTCATGCCGAAGCCGTCATTTCCCCTATTTGAATTTTCCGGTTTTCCCAAATCAACTTATTTTTGACGTAGGACTACGTCTTTCTTTACTCTAGTGGGGGTCACATTAAGATTTCGAAAATGAGGCATGTAACGAAAATGAGGGAGTTTTCAAACGCTTATTTCTTCAACGCATTAATGTGAAATATGTCATGCAATATGCCATTCGACGGGGAATTCATCCAGCAAGTTTTTTGGCATTACCTATGTGTTGAACTTAAGCTTCGGAAAGCTCTGATGACACGAATGAATCGTGTTGTGAACATCGAACGTCATTTTCGGTCTGGTCAATGAATCTGTTTGAATGAGGGAGATGCCATGAACGATTGACTTTGTGTTTCCCGTTAAAAGTGTGCAATCGTGTAGTAGTCGTTCTCACTGACAAGTTGGCAAGCGGCGTTTACAAGAGTGCCTAGGATTTAATTGCATGAAAAATATGGAAGAAATTAATTTTGAAGAAAAAGTGAAATCAGGAGTGTCAGAATGTTCTGCTTGGAACTATTTCTTAAGGGGCTGTTCATTAACTACGTAGACAGTTTTTTTTTTTTGGATTCTTGACCCCCTCCTGCGTAGACAATTGTCCATACACAATTTTTAAAATTTGTTTGGACAGTGCATGATTTCCAACAGCCCGTTCCAACCCATAAACGGTCTACGTAGTTTATGAACAGCCCCATAAGAGGAAAATAGAACAGAGGAATTGCAAAGTGTGTCAAGTGCAATAAGATTATTAAGTGTGAAGGGTCCATCACAAGTGGATTAATAGTACATCTCCGAACACAACATGAAATAATATTGGCTAAACGATGAGTATCTGCTCTTCCTGAAACAACATCTGAGCAAATCGCATCAACATTCGGATCCGGAACCATCGTTCAATAGTTTTCAAAAGCATGCCCGGTCGATGATGCTGTTCTTGCTCGATTATCTGCTAAGGACGGAATTTCGTTACACACAATATGCAAATCAGAAGGCATAAGGCAAAGGTTGCTTGCTCGTGGATTCAAGGACATTCCACGAACGAACAATGGAATAAGGAATCGAATGGAAATGGTTTTTGAGAAGGTCGTCAACGAATACCGGAAGGACTTCGAGGATATACAAAAGTATAAGGGTCTGTGCCTAGGGGCACGAACGGAATCTTGACGTAGGACCGCTACTGGACGGAACAAATATGTTGCGCCTTTCGTTCTTTTAGTTAATCGATACTCAATGACCCAAAGCTGATAGTGATTTTCCGAACACTGCTTTTGGCACTGATTGACGATTCTTTGCTGTTATTTCTCTCCATGGTTCAAAAATATTTAAATTTTGCAAATCTGTTTTACCCAGCATCTAGAGATCTTAAAAGAAATTCTATAGCGTAAAAATATAGTGACCCTGAAAAAGGCCATTTGGGATCCAAGAGATTTACATTCTGGTACTTTCACCATTGCACAGCAGTTGAAATGTTGCAGGTGATCAATGTTGTAGTCAACCTAACGGAACGAATGCAGTGGAACGTCTGGAAAAATGGTGAAGCTACTCAGAGAGCCTGCGATGTCCGCGTCCTTCAGGGTCCTACCAAATTTTTTCGCAAATGAAACTGCCATTTGGATCGAAGTGAACAAACGGGTTTACTTGGGTATCTCCACATACAGCGTGCTCAGTTGACTTTCCTGGCAGCAGCATTACGCAGGTGATCATTGAAGTCAAACTCAGCTGTGTAACGTTCGACGGATGTCGTTGCCGTTGGTAATTCCGATGTCCGCGTCCACTTTCTGGGTCTTTCAAATTACTTGTGACGTCTGTCCCCACAGCTAATGCAATTGCAACTGATCACGTTCATTGAATTACAATCTGTTTTATACTTGCAGAATAGCTAATTAGACCCCTCCCTTTTGGAGTATTTTTCGTCAGAGCGTTCCTAGTTGCAAGTATATAGCAGCATTCACACAAGACCAAGACGTGTTCCGATCAGCATTGAATTGGATTGTTATACTCATACGTCGTGTCGTCCGACGCTTATACGTCCGTTGCTCGAAAGTAAATGACGAAGAAAACGACGTGGCAAGCGATTTTATTGCCGCTGATTTTTTCCTCCTTTCTATTCATTGGCGAAATGGTGAGCGGTCAACCGAGCGGTGAGCTCGCTTATGTGAGCATGCGCATTGTGTCGTGTGTTCGGTTTGCGCTCTATCGCTACGTCCGTGTTTGGGATTTTCCGTTACATATATGAATTTTGATTTTTTTTTTTAATGTGACCCTCAGTATAGAAATTAAAGACGTAGTCCTACGTCAAAAGGATGGAAGGAAACTAAACCTCACGTTTGACGAGTGGACATCCAACAGGAATCGACGTTACACGAATGTAAATGCTCATGCTTCCAACAGAAAATGGTACCTAGGCCTTCAAAGAGTAAATGTACCAATGAAAACGGAACAGTATGAACACTTAAATTTTTTCACCGAGATTCCAACAGCTGAGTTGTTCTGCAATTTATTTTGCTGAGATTTAAGATCATTAAACAATTTTAGATCATTAAAACAATTGGTGTCGGCAATAAATAACATGTTGCTGAGATATCAGCTAAAAAACCGATATTTTGCAGAGATATCAGCAAAAGTAAATGCCGAGGTAACCGGCTGTTGGAGATTTAACCGAGCTAGATTAAGTGTGTGGAATATCACTGATGAAGGACGATATGGCAATCACGCTCCGTCAGTGATGAAGAAAAAAATTGAAACGAAGTCCCGAAGGTATGTTTAGCGCATGGAATCCACCTTGTAGTAATCGCTGTTTTATACAAGAAAGCTTCTAAGCCAGCCTCCATGGAGTTCGAAGATAGGGTAGAGCGCTACTTCGTCCTAAACGCCCATTTCCGTTCTATCGATCAGAAAAGATCAATAATATCAATGATTTCACCGTGCACAAATCAATAATGGGTTTGTTCCGATGCGTTAGTTCATTAGCTACAACATAAATCCTATTTGAGCGCATTGTATGAACATTTACGCTCATTGTTCTCAAAACAAAAGAATCGCTCCTAGCGAATCTCCTTTTTCTACGTTTATCCGTAGGACGAAGAAAATCTAATGGCGTTTCAATGCGTTTGGACGGAATTGAAACTCGTAGGACGAATTTAGAATCAAGAAACAGGATTAGATTTTAAACAATATCAATGTGTGACTCTTTATCAAATCCAACGGTACGTATGGAAAGGTGAATAAATTGTGCTTAGCAGGACGGAAATTAGATCAAAAACCCTACTCCAGAAAAATGTCAGAGCAGACCACGGTATAGAAATCAGTTTGCTTGCTGACTGCAGAACAAGGTGGAATAGCCTGCTGGTAATGTTGCGCCGATTCTACGACCTCCAAACTGCGATTGAAAAAATCTCCGCTCGATCTGAAAACCAAAAATTTGATTAGCTTTAGCGAAGAAGAATTGATAAGAATCAAAGAAATTATTGAAGCGCTGGAACCAGTTCTAGCTTCTGTTGAACTGCTGTGCCGTAAGGATTGTACAATCTATGAAGCCGACGTGGGTTTACAGTTTATGCTAGAGCAGCTCTCGGAACAAACTTCAAATATCGCGAAACAGCTACTTGAATCTCTTGTTGGAAGGATTTCAGAAAGACGTTTCGTATACGCAGATTTGTTTGCATTTATGAGCAATCCTTATGTCTGCGATACACTGAGACAAATGACTTTGAAGTATTCTTCAAGACATCGTGGACTACTATGATATAGAATTCGCTTGAAATTCTACGTCGTTTGATTGATTTGGAAGACAACGGAATAAATGCAGAAGCCGAACGAAGAGAGGAACC